AGCACATTCCTGTAACTGGAGGGGGAAGACACAAATACAACAATAAAACAGCCAGTGTGGAAAACATTCCAAGTACATTAAATTAATAACTTGCTTTTTACAAGAAAGCCTATTTTCAAACCTGTAGAAGGAGATGTAGTTTCTGTGTCTCTAATCAGGAATAGTATGAGTTATCGTAGACAAGGCATAGAAACACAGTCACTTTGGGAATGCCTCTAGTGGTCTCATCTGCCTTAAGCTGCTAATGAATATGAGTTTGCACTACTGTGGCCTGCAACACACTCTCTGGTTTTACTGCAAACTCTCCCCAGGGCTTTAACCACCAGATGGCTGGAGGTACGAACAATGAACGTTAACAGCTTCATTCTTCCAAGGGCCAAAGTGTGTGTTCACCTGAAAGTGTATGTCCTAGAATTACCAAGTTAAAGATGTTGTTATCTCAAACTTCATGTCAGGCAGAACGGTCTCGAAAACTCAGAATAGAAGTCAATAAATTCTTCCTGGTTCTGCCATCAATGTAATTACATAGCTTGGACAAGAGTCCTCATCTTTCTACCTCCATCTATCCCTTATCAGCCTTGGGTATTTACACTGTCGGGGGACAGTACCTGAAGTGGTTTGAGCAAGATGTGCTACACCACCACCTCCCATCAGCAGATCCCACATATCAAGAGGGATGTCAAGCGATGGCAGAAGGCCACTGCTGAGCACGAATACTTCAGGTGGGACAAGAGGACCATGCCTAGCAGTGATGCTGCCATACTACACCACAGTCTCTCTCCCTTGCCTTGGTAACTGCCAGGTCCAGAGCTGGTCCAATTGCACGCATCTGGCATGCTGGAACAGGGCAGTGGCTGCAGTACAGCTCTGTCAACAACTACAATACAGGTTGCAACTGGTCACCTGCTTTTTGACTCATAAAAAGGGCAACTTGGCATCCCCAGCAATTTGGTAAAATACAGGGAGCTGTATGGGGACCACACAGGGCTGCTGGGCTAACGCACTCCTGCTGAAACACCCCGAGCTGTGGTAGCACAAGTAAGCAGCAGCAATAATAAAGAATATCATAGAATCATAGAATGGGTTGGGTTGGAAAGGACTTAAACATCATCTAGTTCCAACCCCGCTGCAGGGACACCTCTCACTAGAACACGTTGCTCAAAGCCTCATGCAGCCTTGCCTTGTACACTTCCAGGGATGGGGAATAAAATTAATAAATAATTATAGATTAAACTTTATATATATTTTATGTAACTATTTTTTAAAAAATAATTATATTTATAATGAAACAAAATTCTTTTTTTAAGGATGCCTGGTTTAAATCCTGACCCAAATCTGCCATTTTAGCTAAGCCAGTTAGCCTGGCCTTTATTTATACTTTATAAAGTATATATATTATATACTATATACTATATATATAGTATGTATATATTCTATACCTATATTTTATACTATATAAATATAGGTATAGAATATATACATACTATATAGATTACTATATATAGTATATAATACATTATATACATAACATATACAACATATAGTACATATAAATATGTACTATATATAATATATATAATAGAGCTCTGCAGTATTATATGTATATATATTACATAATGTATAACATGTATATCCATATATCCTAAATATCTGTTATATATAGTATAGTATAGCATATACAACGTGATGTATAACGTATTATTTATAATTATACATATAAATGTATAATAACGTATATGTGTGTGTGTACATACATGTGCGTGTGTGCATACACCTATGACTGCAGAGTTCTGTAAAGCAGCGCGTCCCACATCCCCACGCCGTCACCCGGTGCAGGTGCCGAGCCGTCCTGTTTAACCCAAGCAATGCCCGATACCTGCTCTGCGGGAAAACCAGGCGCGGGGCAACTTCCCCCCGGAAACAAGCACTACCGGACGGCCCCGGCTGTTTAAAGGGCAGTGACTACTTTAATGTCTACATCAGCAGTCAAACCCCGGCCCAAACGCACAGCACTCAGCCGCCATTGCCGCCCCGCCCCGTCCCGCCCCGCTGGGGGCGGCTTCCCCCCCGGCCCCCCCTTCCCTCCGCCCCAGCGCCTCAGTGGTACCTCCGCCGCCCGCGTTCCCCCCCCGCTCCGCGATGGTTCGCTCTGCCTCCCGCTCCCGTTCCCGTTCCGGCGGCGCGGGGCTGCACCACGCGGCAGGCCGGGGGGGGGGAAAGAGGAGGTGTGTGGGTACGCGCGGCCCAGCGGCGCTTCGTCTCGTCTGGCCCCGCCTCGCGGTGTAGGCGGGTGGGAAGCGAGGCGGTGTAAATAACCCAGAGGGCTGGAAAAGGCGAGGTTATCATTTCTTTCCCAAAGCACGTGATTAAACGCGCAAAGGAAGAGTAAGGACACCCCCACCCCCTCCCGCCAAATAAACACACGGTCTCCGGTGGAGTAATACGCAAGACCTTATCGCTCTCTACAGCTGTTTGAATAGAGGCTGTAGGCAGGTGGGAGTCTGTTTCTTCTCCCAGGTAACAAGTGATAGAACCAGAGGAAATGGCCTCAAGTAACAAGTGATAGAACCAGAGGAAATGGCCTCAAGTTGTGTCAGGGGAGGTTTAGATTGGATATTAGGAACGTTTTCTTCACTGGAAGCAGTTGTCAAGTATTTGACCAGGCTGCCGAGGGAAGTGGTGTCACTGTCCCTGGGGGTGTTTAAAAGATGTGCAGACATGACATTTGGGGACACGGTTTAGTGGTGGACTTGACAGCACTGAACTCAGTGATTGTAAAGATCTTTTCCAGTCTAAATGATTTCTGGAAAGTGCTCCTCCTCACGGATGCTGAAGTGCTGGTAGAGAAGACAAAGACTAAATGATCACTGGCTTTACAGCAGAGTCTTGAAAATACAGGTACAAATATGCCAACAGCAACGATGCACACGAGTAAACTATTTTTGGTTGCTGCTTCCAGCTGCAAGAATGGATGATCTGAACTGAGACCAAGCTATGCCTGAAATGACATGTACGAACAACTAAATTTTTACTTAGGACAGTGGTATCTCACTTAAAATACGCGAAGACTGAGAAGCTACCATAGCAGACTATAAAATGTGCGTCAAAGTCTCATCAACAGAGACATGAATTAATTACATAAATGGGGAGTTTACTTGTTAGGTGATACCTTTTATAGTGTAGGGCAGTAAGAAAACAAATCTGTTTACTCACACACAATACAATGATGCTTCTTAGCTGCAATCACAGCTACTTCTAAATACAAACCATAGCACATTAATGAAGCACTGCAGTAAAAAAGGGAAAAAAGATGTCAAAAAGGAGAGAAATGGAATACTTAAGATAGAAAAACCTCACTATTTTTAAATGAAGCATCTGTATTTAATTTCCCTTTAGAAATAATATTCCTTGGACATTTGTGTGTTAGTAATTTGTTGGAAGTTGGCACTTGGTCTTCTCAATTTTCATACAGCTTTCCTATGAGTACTTCCAAAGCATTATTTACAAATGCTATACTTATATGCATTATATAATTATGTTACACATATAGCAATTTAGTTAATCATTAAATTTCACAGCGCAGCCAACATTCAGAGCCACATAACTATGTGAAAGAAATGGAAAGGGAGTTAAAAGCTGAAGAAGCAGCCAAGGAACATCATCTTAAATTAAAATTTTATTACTTTGGTACCAGTTTTTTGATTCTGAGGGCTGTGTTAGTAACTTTTTTCAACAATACTAGTAGGAACAATGAGTACAATCTCAGCAAAAGTGAATTGCCCAGTGTTAAATCCCAGCTTTTGTGAGGGATATGTACCACTTCCTTTAAAAAATCAAAGAAGCTGAGCAGTGACCTGTCAGAAGCAGCCAGCAGAGGTAGAATGTAATGTCAGCTGCAAAATCAGGCTGAATTTTAAAGACTTCTTTTGCTTGGAACTCTTTAAATCTGCATTCCTGAGAAAGCAAAGCCTCACCAGTCTTTGTGTCCAAGGTTTTTCACCGCAGTTCTTTCACTGATAGCACAAATGTCTAGAAGCAGCAGACCAGGGCTTTTTAGCTTTGCTGGAACAGACTTTGCGTAGTGCTGGGTGAGGTGTCAGGGCAGGAGCGAGTTGCTTCAGTGGTATTCCACCCAGGTAGCCCAGGTGAGGCTGAAGGTTTGGCACCATCAGAGAGCACTGCCAAACCAGGGCAGTACAGAAGGGGATTTATATCCTTGAGGACGTTACTGCCTGCCAAGGGGCTCCCGATGTTGCAAAATGTGGAACATGTTTTTTGATGTTTGATCTTTGTCTACTTTCAAGCCGAATCAACAAGAGAGGAGATTTAATCAAGCTCTAAGTGATGGTCCAGGTATTTAGGAAGACAAATTGCTTGCTGAAAGAATTGCTTTGTTAAGGTTTAGGGCTCGACATGTTTCAATGATCTCAGCCCTAGGGGAAGGTTAACAAAGCATGGGAAGAAGGATGTACCACTGGTAGTGGACACAAAGAATGCAGAATTTACTGGCCACAAGGACATTTGGCAGAACCCCCTAGATAAGGAAGAAACTCAATTAACCAATAGAAGTCTAATTAATAAGAGAACTAGGTAAATTACCGCCAATGAACATTAATGCCTTTGTTCGCTAACATGTATAAATAGCGAAAAGTTTTGGTAGTCGTCGTGCTGGCTTTGTGGATTTGCCACGCAGCACCCCTTTCTGAGCAGAACTGTAAATAAATCAAATACCTCCAGTCTGTGTGTGGATTGGCCTCTTGCACACGGGGGGAAAGAACCTAGTTCGGGACAACATGGTGTGACCCGGAGGTCCCGCTACACGGGGGGGAGGGTCGGGATTGTATTAATCCCCCTCTGGCCCTTTAAGGCCCCCCCACCTCACGCACGAGCTGTGGGCGCGGCGTCTGCGCGCAGCGACCGCACCGCTCCCCCCGCGCATGCGTGCTGGGGCGCGCGGTGCTGCCCGGCGGAGGGCGGTGACCTCGTCGCTCCCATCGCGCATGCGTTTGGCGCAGTGGCGGGGGCGGGCGGTGCCGCTGGGCGGGGGGAGCGATGGCGGCCGCGCTGGGTCTGTCGTCCGCGCCGGGCTCCGCCGCCGTGAGCGAGCTGTGCCAGAACGGCCGCGAGATCTTCCTGGAGGCGTCGCGCCTGCTCCTCACGTACGCCGACAACATCCTCCGGTGAGTCGGGTCGCCGCCTTCGTTCCGCGGGCAGTGCCGCAGGGTTCCCGCGGCCGCTCCCCGGCGCCGAGCGGCGGCTTTGCTTCTGTTGTGTAATGTCGAAGTTCAGAAGCTTCTCGCGTCTTTTTGTCGCTGTTGTAAAAATCAGATTACTTAGCTAGAGATGTAGTGTTCTGGATTTTTATTTCTTTGTTTGTTGCTGGTTGGTTTGTTTTGAAAGCTTGGGGGGCGTTTTTTTGTGTTAAACGCAAAATCATGCGTTGTCCCTGATTTTGCAAGCGTTTATTCCCCTAAAAGCAGGTAATAACAAGTAATGCTGATTTTAACTCGATTTTATCTCGATTTTAACTCGATTTTAACTTCGTTTTGACTCGATCTTCGTTTTTTGTTTTTTTCTGGATTTTTCTCTTGCCCTTCCCTTCTGACTTAGCAAGGTTGTTACCAAGAGTTAATTAGAGTTGAATTTCTGCAGGTGGCCCTGTAGGGTGCACATACACACTAATATGTGTGATTGACCTTGATGTCTTCTTCCAGCATCTCGAGGTGTATGAGCTGCCCCTCCCTGTCTATATATACCGTAGTAAAAGCTACTGCTGTGTGACACAGAGTGGTGCATCCTGGGCTGACTCTTTTTAAAGGAAGAAGCGAGAGAAGGAGGTTTTTATAAGTTGAAAGAGGAAAAAGGAAGTGAGAGGCAGCCCTTGGAGAAGCAGAAAGCACAGTTGTTTCACCCATGTATCAGGCACTTTAGTACAGCTTCCGTGGTGGGACTAAAGCCATCCAGCATCAAATTGAGAAGTTCAATTAGAATGCTACCAGGTAGAGGGGGATGTGAAGGTGTCTCTGAGTGTCACTGCAGACTGAGCCCTGCTGGGTAGCACTACAAAACATGTGTTTATGAATTGAAGTTGCGAACTAAAATTTAGCACCAGTTTGTAACTCTTTGAGTTAAGTGCAAAAGGACAAGAATTAAGTAAAAGTTTTAAGTTAGGTTTCACATTCTACCTACATGGTGTGAAGGAAACAAAACTTTTTAAAAATCTCTTGTGAGAGACTAATGCTAATTAGTGTAGTTACCTAACTTTTAAGTGTTTATTTAATTTGCAAACATAATTATGACTTTTATTTCTTCAGGAATCCATATGAAGAAAAATATAGATTAATTCGGATTGGAAATCCAGCATTTTCCACAAGGCTGTTGCCTGTCAGAGGAGCAGTTGAATGTTTATTTGAAATGGGGTTTCAGGAGGTGAGTGTAATTTAGTAATTTCTGGTGTCTTCATCAGTTTACACACTAAAATTGATGGATGATTTTTTTCTGCTTCCTGAGTTGCAAGGCAGTAGATTTTAAGCCAGTTGCTGTTTTTTTCAGTCCTTGTTTGCAAATATCCACAGATACCAACAGCGAATTTAGATGAGGCTGCTTCAGAAATCTGGTGGAGCTAGGGCTAAGCTAATCCATGACAAGATTGGTTTTCTGCTGCTCAGGTGCACTGCTGGTTTGCTGAATGGCTGGATACATTCCACAAAGGAAATGGTGGGAAGCAGAGTTAAAAACCCTCTCTCTTAGTAGCAGCCCGCTTTTAGGTGGACATCAGACATTGTAAATGTGTGTAGAAACTGTCATTTGGAAGAGAGAAAAAGAAAGCACTGCATTTCTGCTCCTTGTTCCTGCCATCAGTAGGACTTCTGTGGCCCCATGGTGGGTTAGATAAGGGAAGCTGATTTGATTAAAAATCAATCCCCTAAAAAAAAACCAGAGTAATAGTTTGTAGTGCAGCTGCACAAGTACTGGTGTTGTCATGACAGCAGTAAAGGGCAGTAGACTCTTCAAGTAGGACTGAGTCTTTAAAATTCATTTTAAAAATTTAGAAAACTATATCCTGAAGTGGTTTGGAGTGAATCTTGATTCTGTTGCAGTCACAAAGATGTATTTTGGACATTGCTTTGTGTCCTGATGTGGTCCTTGTCTTGGTGGAACTTAAACTGCGAAGATTGTTAAACTAGAAGCAGCCTTTGTAATTATTGGAGACCTGGGGTGGAAACTCAGCTCTTGTTTAGTAGTGCAAAGCTCTTGCTTTGCTTTGTCTATTTGATGCCACACTTCTCTATGGGTACATATATTATGTTACTTAGGCTAAGCTGTCATGAGACCTCTGCATTCTCTTTGGGTTAATTAGTGTAATTGTTCTAATTAAAAAAAAGAAAAGGTGTGCTGAAAGAAGTGGTGACTGCAGAGGGAGAAACAATCTGTGGATTCATCTCATGCTGGTGTTCAGGAGACTTCTAATGATGTATTTTAGCCAGGAGGTGGTTGGTGTAGCTAGTGGAGCACTCAAGCAGATCTCTGAATGTGTTGGCTCAGTCTTATGGTTATTGTGTCAGTCAAGGCTGGAGCTCACCAATTTCTCTTCAGCTGGTTAAGTAAAATTGTTACTTCTTTTGTCTCTGCTTGGTAAGCAAACTTTTTCAATTAAAAATGAGGAATGTATTTCCTCACTCTTCTGGGAGATTGAGAGATTCCATTTAGTTTTGTGGTGATTTTAAGTGTTAACGTGAAGCACTACATCTGCAATGATAGGTGACCTAAGGTAGCTGTGGATAAACAAATTACTCACCTTAATAAATAGAAGTGTTTCAGTGGTAGAAACTGAAACTGTTAAAGTATAAATGCTTCAGGATGTTCATGTTTTTAGCAACCTATTTCTTTATGCTAAGTATGCTGATACTTGCTTCTGTAACAGTTACTGATTTTCTGTTTTGCTGCCAATAATCATGTTACAATCAAAAATAGGAGCCCAGAAATCAACCTGGGTGCAGGTCTCAATAAAAATAATATTTCCTATCTGAAAAGTTAAACCTAACGAATATTAGTATGGAAGAGAATTCCCAGCAGGTGCCATTCTAAGGTCTTCTTCTCCCAGCACTGGCTGTCCTACTGTGTTGCCAAGCATTTCACTGCTGTCCTGTGAGAACTGTGCGTTTGTTGTTCATTTCTGTTGTTGCTGCTTTCTCTGCGAAACCATAACTGCATCGTCCATGTGTGGCTCTGCAGAATAAGTTACTAACAAAAGCATGTTGTTATGGGCCCTTTTTCTCTAGATTGACTATAAATTCTTAATCTAATGGCTTCTGAAGCTGTGAGGGACCTCAGGCTTCTACTGTGAAGGGACCTAATCTGAAAGCTGAATCCTGCCAAGTCTTAGCATGCTAACTTAAAAACCATTGAGTACCTTAGATCTGCATTAACTGCTGAATTCATTTGTCTAAATTTCAGGGAGAAACTCACCTGGTTTTCCCTAAGGAAGCTTCGATTGAGCAACTACGTAAAATCAGAGACTTAATTGCTGGAGAGAGAAGCAGCAGACTGAATGAGTCAAACCAAATCCCCAAATCAGGATCCGCTGAAACTGTCAGCAGCGCTCAGACAGCTGCACAACGGCCTTCAAGACCTGCCAGCTCTGTTCTTGCCCCTGCCCGTCAGCGACCAGAAACGTCACTTGTGCAATCTCTTGAAATGGTAATTATAACCTGGAAACTTTATAGGTTCATTAGTCTTGAATATAAAGATTGAAGAAAAGTTGACTGTTGGGACAGGTTGCTCAGAGAAGCGGAGTAGTCTCCAAATGAGCACATTTGCAAGCTCCATCTGAGTAAAGCTTAGAGGAACTTGGCCTGACCTGTTTTGAGTAGGAGGTTGGACTAAAGGGGGTTTTTTCCAATGATTTTTGAAGTTTTTTGGGTGTTTTCTTCAGTCTCCATGCAACTTAAAAATGAAATGTGCCATAAGTAGAATATTGGCAAGAGATTTTGTTGAAGAACTCCTGAATGTTTTTTTAATCCGAGTGTCATGAAAAAAAGCTGATTTGTATTGGGAGGGAACAGCAAGGTGGGGAACAGGGGGAGGGGTGGGAAGCTAAGACTAGGCTTATATTTGGTATTTGAGAGCCAGAGAAAGAACAGGAAAGTGACTGTACTGTTTTTAGTTGTTGGCATCTTGGTTCATGCATTATGACTTCTTTGTGTAGCCTGTGAGGAGGCCTTTCTTTTTTCACATGTGCCTGTCGTTGAAGACAGGAATTTAACCAGGAGAGGACAAATCTGTAGTTATCTATACTGAGTTTCCCTTGTCCAAGAGGTTGAGATGAAGTTCCTGATCAAGACAGAGGCAGTATCCTTTCATCTGGTGTTAACTGGCCCAATGGAAGAAGATGCAACATCTCATACAGCTTTGAAAAATTAAGTTATGCCTTTAGAGAGAAGGTTTTAAGGATGCTTTGGTTGAATTTTCCAAAGAGTTTTTCTCCTTAGAATCAGTGTCACTTTGGTCTTAAAGTTGGTGTAAGTTGAATCCTTTCAAAAAAAGCTTGCTTCTCGTACATCCTTAAACACAGTTTGCCACTTTTAAGTTATCAAGATATTGTTGGATACTGAACTATGACATACTGTTTATTCCCAATACCTACCCAAGATCAGTGGACAAGAAATGGCACAGCATGGTTTGAAGTGATGGCTTTTGGGGATAGAGAGCTCTCAGTGACCCATCATCACCCAGAATATCCTTTGGGAAGGGAACTGTTGTAGACACTTGAATATTAAGCTGTTTAATTATGCTAGCCTGGTAGTAGTTGCCTCTGAAATGTATTAACTAGATTTATTTGAATTTGGTTGGGGATTTCTGAGTTGATTTTTTGCCTGCTTCTTGATTTTTACCGTTTCAGTCAGTTCTGCAGTGGTTTTTGGAAGTGATTATAAAACCTCTAGAGTGACTTGCTGCTGTGTTGCTTAGTACTGGAACCTTTAAAAGTTGATCTTGCAATGAGAAAAATGTTGCAGATTTCAAGTAGACACAATGTATTCTGATGTTAATCCTTTCCATTTGTAGTTATTCTGCCCTGACATACACTAGCCATCATAGTGGATCCATTTCTTTGCAACTATTAATTTTCCACGCTTCTTGAGATCCAGCATGGATGGTGGGACCAAACTTACTACAATTTAGAGACATTGGAAATGCAATGATGACGCTTTATTAGAATGCTATATTTCAGCTGATCTCTTCAGGGAACTATACTGATAGCTCTCTGAACCATTGAATTTGATCTGTATAGTCTGGGTTGATGGGAAGGAAGTCCATAAAATACCTGCTGGCCGTGACTTGGCCGTTTTGCTTGCACAGCAATGGGGGTTTTGGTTTTTAGTGAGTATGATGCCGAGTTATAGTTGTATTATTGTTGTGTGCTCTGCTGACAGATGTCAGAGAGATTTAGAGTGGTTTCTGTAGTGCAAGCATTTTTTTCTTGCCTGTGTGTTATATTTGTCATTCATGGGAGTCCTGGTAAGCACAGGGAAAATTGGCTTACTTGAGACAACACAGGAATATTCCTCAGTGGCACAGTTCCAGGGACCTAACCTATCATTATTTTACCTCATATACCTCTTCTGCGCTTCTCGTCGTAAAACGTTCTTGAGACTCAGGGAAAGGAAAGCTCTGGCTAGTCATTAATTCTGTTAGATGGATTCTGATCCTTTCCTAGGTGGCATAGTGACTACAGGAGGAAAGTTGTATCCAAACTTAGAACTGTCATGAGGTTCACCACCCTTCTGAGATTTTTTGCGTAAGACTTCATCATTACACAGTGGCTTCCATGAAACCAGTTAAGCACTACTGTAACACTTAGGGTGTTTGCCAGTGGGAAAACCAGAGTAGTTTTTCTGGGAGACTTCCTGCTGTGCTTAGCAATATCTCTGAATATTCTTTCAGGAAGCTGACAGAACATGAAAGTCTATAAGCCTTTGGCGGTCTCTAACATCCCTTATTTCTGTTCTTTCGACTTGCATTAAGGTGAATCTGGACACAATTGAGTTTATGATGTTAAACCAGTTACCTGTAGCTTATGACCTCCAGGAGGAGTAAAACCAGCTCTGTTCTGTTTTAGCAGTTATGAAAATTAAAGACTGGTCCTGCAGTACTCTCCAGCATCAAAATAATCACTTGTAATTTAAGTGCTCCTTTGAAAGAAATTATCTTCTGAAGAGTTCTCACACCTGTGTTTGCTGCCAGCATCTCAGGAAAGTGGGGGATTTTTGATTAAATTAAGATGGTAGTTAACAAGGCAAAAGACTGAAGCATGATATAGCAGTAGAGAAAAAGGTAATTTAGCAGTGCCACAGGCTTCCCCCCAAAATATGCTAGGCCCTTAATTTAAAAATCCCATTTTATTTTCTATGTTACTCCCCTTTAAATGGGGTAAGTAGCTTGCTCAGCTACTAACTCCGTTATTATTAACTTCAGCTGTTTATTTTACTAGCTATGGGTGTACCTTATTGGGTGCAACTTGTAGTTGTCACTAGGTGACACTTAGGATGACTGACTGATCAAGCCTAGTTCTCATACACAATTTCTACTGAAACAGTGTGTTCACTTTATAGTCACAGGGCTGTCTATTCAAGTCTGTATCAGAGTTGATGTGTGAGAGAAGGAAGTAGAAATAGGCAGGCGACATTCATAAATAAGAAATAAAAAAGCAGCAGTCATCAATGACAAGAGTTCTACGAACTGGTGTAGCAGTGTCCAGGAAATTAAAGTGTTTACAGGTTTTTTTATGGATTTCAGGTAAAATGTGTCCAAAAGAAAGGTGGGGGGATGGAGCAGGGGACTGGAATAAGTCAAAAGCTTTGCTGTTGGAGGTGTCCTTAGAAACAATTTTCTCTTCTGTCTGAGTCAGTACACTTTTCACTGAGGACACCATTCAGAATGCTCAGAGATGACAAGGTCGGACTTAAGAGTTTGGGTGGTGTTGCCTGCGATTTTTATTGATATCTTTACACATAAGCATTTTGCCTGCAATACATATAATGTAAGTATGATTATAGAATTATGACTGGCTTAAGCAAAAAATAAGAGAGTTTGGGTTTTTTGCCTTAAGGTGAAAGTTCATAAATTGTCTTACAATTGAAAATCCTTTTGCAGGCTGCAAATATCTTGAAAACACTTCAAACAAATTTTGAGGATCTTGTATTGATGTATGAGAATCCTTCTATTCAGCAGAAAGCACTAGCTGCAATTCCTCTCCAGGAATTAAAGAACAAGGCTCAGAAAAAGCTATCACAAGCTACAAGACTGGACAAAGGTAATGCCACCAAGTTATAATGAATATGAAACTAGAAGTACGCTTTCGAACATACTATGTTTTGGCTGTGTGTGTTTGGTCATATGTTTGCAGGTTTCAAATGCTGTTTCTAAGTTGGAATTACCTTCTTCCTAATTTCCTACTCGCTCCTTCTCTTATTTTTTATTTTGCTTTTGTCATCCATCTTTTACTGCTTCACATAGAAATTTTGGACTTTTAATTTCTGAATTAAAACAATGCTGGTGAAATAGCTACAGCAAGAGGAGGGAAGCTGTTTGTTTGAGTAGTCACTATTTCAAAATTGTCAATTCTTGCAATTTTCCTATATGTACTACATTCTAAATTCAGAATAAAAATTTTAAATACTACTTCTCTTTTTAAAAGTGATATTGGTGAGATTTTGCGTGAGACCTTTCCAAGATGCCACCTGATACAATCACCTTTCTCGCTAATGCTTAAATGAATAGGGTTGTTCACATGCCATCCTCTTGGAGCTAGATGTGAAATGGAGGCCTAAATACTTGTGATATCAGTCTCTAAAATTTGTTTTCTTCATAAATGCAAATTTGTTTTGAATGTATGAAGTTATTGTCAGTTAAAATTATATATTTCTATTTTCAGGTGACAGTTTTAGATTTGTTTCAGTGATATCACACACAATAGTATTTCACTATAAATATTTAAAAAACCCCACATTTCCAAGACAATCTTTAAACATAAAAAATCCTTCTCACTGTGAATCTTTGATAGAAGACTGTTTGAAGCAATTCTGCTAACTTTATGGGAGTACTGTTGGTTTGCAAACCAGAAATAATCTCATGGTTTTTTATAAATTACTTTGTGATGTCTCATGCAGCCACGTGCTAATATGCAATTGTGCCTTTGGCATTAGGGAACTTTTTCATAGTGGATTTTCTTCGTAGTTTTTGTCTTCTTATAAAACTACTGGGAAGTAAGAAACCACATAAACAAGTACAAAGCATGCTCATTCAGCATGCAATGGAGAAAAGAGACTTAGTAATAAATGACAGCTATTAAATTCCTATAAGAAGCAAAAAAAAAAGAAAGGATGAGCGTACCTCTTAGACTGTGTTCTAATACTGCTGTGCACATTGTTTAAAAAGGGGAAGGAAGGAGGAGGGTAATGTTTCCAGGTGCTTCCCAAGCCATCAAGCTGATCTATTCAAAATGGCTTCCAGACCTTAATTTAGATACAAATAATGGGGAAGAGATGGAATTTCACTGGTTTAGATTGTGACAGCTTGAAAGCATTTTTGAAGAGCTTTATAGAAAATTCATTTGGGAATGGACTGTGTATGACATATATGGGTAATTGGCCCTTTCAGCTTCTTTGGTTTATCTGTACTGCTGCACTGACTGCCACCTGTGGGAATAACTACTTAATGCTACAGAGCACTTGTTTTTAGGACTTGTCTTACAATGTGTAATAAGCATTTTTGCCTAATAAAGAGTATGCTAGGAAGATTATGGTCATTTGATCAGAAGTGTGGATTTGTTTTTTACTTTTTGCCACATTCCATTAGAAAGATAGACTCCACAGTCAGAAATAGCTGTTTTCTGTTCAAATAAATCACATTTGTCATTGTTCCCATGTGATATTTCAATGAAGGATTTATTTTATGAACCAAGAGAAGAATGTTCATACCATAGTAGTCATATTGTCATTGTTGGGTTCTAGTTTGAGTGTTATCCAGAAGAAAAGAATATGACCTGTGCTTGAAATCTTATTGTTCAACTTTTAGCAGAAATTTTGACTATACAAGCATATCCATTTTGCAAGCAGTAAGCCCTTGTCTGAGTGTTCCAGCACAGAGTTTTCACATACATAAGTAAAAATGGAAATTTTACTGTAATTAGAAATCAGGTGTTTTTGCTTTGATTAACAAATGATCTCTTCCCATGCACTTCACAGTCTTGGCAATGTGTGTTTAATAGTGTTAGGGCCCCTACAGGGTCTTTTGTATCAAAGACCACTACAGTTTTAGAGGAAGATGTGAACTGAGCTTAAATAAGTAAAATGCACATCTTACCTAGTCTTTCTTCACCATCCTGAAAAAGGAACTTTTGCACAAATGCAACTGCTTTCAGCTTTCTTTAAGCAGCATTTTTATGCATTCATTTTGTCTGTTAATATTCATTAGTCAAACCTGTCTCCACGGTGACAAGAAGAAAGCTATAGTACATAAAAATAGCCAGGTACAAATACCTATGTTTTTGGTGATGATGAGGTTGATAGGGGACTTATTTGAATGTTTATGTATCTGCGAAAGAAGAGTATCTCTCTGGGCACTGGAGCAGAATGTGCATATAAAGATTCCAAGAATTTTAAAGGAATGGATCTCTCCTGAAAGACTGGATTTTCACATCTTTTATTTAGGGAAAGTGGGGCTGTTTCCAGTGTCAGAACAGTGACAGTGTTTGAGTAGATTCTAAGACGTGTTGTGAACAGGAAAATGGGACAGAAGAGTTTGGTATGGTGAAATCAACTAGAGCAGAAAATTAAAGACATGCTGTACCTACTTTGGATAAGCTGAGAAAGGTGTGTATTTGCTGAATTTAAAACAAACTCAACTTGTTGGCATGGTATATACATATGTTCTACAGTAATTAAGCTGTGTTTGTAGGAAGTCTGTTCCTATTACACCTGGTTGTCTGGATTGCTGCCAGCGTCTGGGTCATTGGGATTTTGAAATCAAAGCAATTGTTATTCCTAGTTTAATAACTAAGAATAAGAAAATAATATATAGGAGCAAAAAAAGAATTAGCACTCTCCCAAAGCCCTGCAAGAGTATGAGAGACATGAGAAACTTCACCAGGCTTTGATGTATATCTGACTTGGTTTTTTGAGCGATTTCTTATTCTTGTCCTAGCTGTAGTGTTTAGGAGTGCAGTTTTTTTTTTTTAAGTTTGACCTTATTCAGTCTTGACAATTTAGATTTTCTTTTTAATGTGTACTTAAGTAGTATTATTATGAAGCTTGTTTAATATAATTTTTATATTTTAGAAGTACATATATTTTATATGTACTTCTAAAATACCATAAAGGCCCAGAGATGCTGATTTGCATAGATACTGTCAAGTTCAACTAAATTACTTTTCCATATGAACTAACTTTGTGTTGTATAAATTTTACAGGTGCACATGTGAATGAAGAGGACTTCCTATTGTTGGAGCTTTTGGAGTGGTTTAAGACTTACTTTTTTCGTTGGGTAAATAGTCTTCCTTGCAGCAGGTGTGGTGGGCAGACAGAGCCTAAAAGTGACTACCTCTTACCTACTGAGGATGATGTAAGGTGGAATGCCAGTCGAGTGGAAAACCACTACTGCAACCAGTGTCAGTTCTCTAATAGATTCCCAAGGTGAGCACAGAGAGGTTTCCTTTGTCTTTTTTCTTGTCTTTCAACAAACAGCTTTTCATTTGTGCATTTTGTGAACAAGTGATAAGTTGTTAGTTGAAAGATTAGTGAAGCTGTTATAAGTATGATGATAGAATGGTTGATGATCAGCAATTTCTCTACAATATCAGATTAAAAGCAATATATTGCTTTCTGCTATGGGGCCTTGTTCTGAATACTTGTCTAATTTAACTTCTAAATAAAATATGTTAGTATTGCCAACCACGTGTAGATAGGGTTTCGTTATTTCAGGGAAAACTTTCACTTCTGTGGGAAATATTGTAATGTAATACACGTCTTTTGCTGAGTCTATAGCAAAAGAGCAAATATCCAATCTTTGGATTATTTTTGCTAACTATCAAAAGGACCAGTGTACAAAAATCATATTTTAAGACGTCTAAATCGATCTTAAAACCTTGAAAAATAAGATTCATTTTAGTATTGCTGTAAACATGATGGAATCACAGGAGCTGAAGTAACATCCTGCTCAGACTTGTTTTGTGCAGAACAGTGATTCATTTCTGTTATCATTTGTGGACTGATTAATACTGAAATCTGTTCAAAGCATCAGAAGAACAGTTGTGATGTAAAGATTTCTGAAAGGTGAAATGTATTCTCAGTTATTCTTGTTTTGTTTTTCTCCTGTAGGTATAACAACCCTGAAAAACTTCTGGAAACCAGACGTGGACGCTGTGGCGAGTGGGCAAACTGTTTTACACTGTGTTGCAGAGCTGTAGGGTTTGAAGCAAGATATGTCTGGGACTATACAGGTATCTGTGTTCTAGAATATTGTAATGTTAATATAAACCTATGCAAAATGAGGTTATGTATTTTATGTTTCTCAGATTATATTAGTCATCAAGGCAGCGTATAGAGTTATGCAGTTCAGCTAACAAAGACAGCATACATTCAATTTTCTGTCTTGCCTGATGAGATGAAATAGGGTTCGGCAAGTAAGGTTAGGTAACTGACTTCAGAATGATACAGTCTTTAGTTGAATCTAAGGGACTGTGATCCTAAGACAGAAAGAGAAAGCTCTGGTAATGTTTCTGAATGTATATGTACAGAAAACGTGTTCTTGCACCTGTTCCTTTGTTCGATAAATTGGAAAAAGTTAAAAGATTCTGCAAGATTAGAAGAGATGCTCTATCCTTATAACTCATTGTGTATTCTTGACCTTTATTACATAGATCATGTGTGGACTGAGGTATATTCTTCATCTCAGAAAAGATGGCTTCATTGTGATCCCTGTGAAAATGTCTGTGATAAGCCTCTTCTCTATGAAACTGGATGGGGAAAGAAGCTCTCCTACGTAATTGCATTCTCCAAAGATGAGGTAAGAGTAATGATGTTAATAATAAATAAACTTGCCGTGGGGCAAGTATGTTATGTATTCCATTTTAGTGGGATTTCCAGAATTATTATAGAAGATCATACTTTGATTAGCTAGCCTCTTTAAATATGAAGCAAGATAGATCAGAATTTTGGTTACTTTACTTTCTTCTTCAACTTGTGCTTGAGGTTGTTGATGTCACCTGGAGATACAGCTGTAAACACGAAGAAGTACTCTCTAGAAGGACAGCACTCAGCGAAGCAACGCTACGTGAGACAATTAATGCACTAAATAGAACGGTATGTAGCTTTTCTTAAATGGATTTATTAAAGTGAAACACAAACATCTGCAGAATGTGAAATCCATGAACAAGGAATGCATTTGGTAACGTGATAGGAATGTCCATGCACTATGGATATAAAAAATGCCATTAACTATACGTTTTAACCTGAATACGTAAGAATCAGATGCAGTGCTGAACTTATGGGAGATAAGATAAAGAATGGTATGCAAAAGGATTATCGTATTATCTATTACATAGACATGTGTGTATATGTTATTTTTCTTAGTGACTTTGGTGTAGACTTGTATATCAACAGATGCTGGGTGTAAACTGCAACTCCTTTCTAACTGTGTGGACTCCTTGACAGTGGCTGAGTGTTTTCCACATCAGTAATGCTATGACTTGAAAACAGTAGCATTTACAATTGTAAGAAACGTAGGCTTAATTTGCTTTCTGTGACTTTTTACAAGCTCCAGGAAGTGTGAGAAATTATTTGTTTTCCAAGATGTTCAAAAAGCATTGTTACCATCAGCAGAGCTCTGACTCAGTTGCATATATATGCACTGTTCATGCTTAACATCCCCAAAACACATGGAGACATTTATACCTGCATATCACAGTTGCAGAACCTCTCTGCTAAGCTTTTTTCCAGTCCATAGTTGAAACAGGATGAACATTGCTTGATTCAGTTTACTAGAATATCATAAAACCGTGAACTACCTGGGGGGTTCTGTTTTGGCCTCGCTTCCTTACAGGGCTGATATTCCTGTGCATGGAAACTGTAGTTCCAGTGGTAGTATACAGCTGATGCTTTAATAAGCAGATTATGCCTTTTTAGGAGCCTGCTGGCTTCAGAGTTACAGCCACACACTGAGAGTGTGAAGAATTGAGTTGAACTCATGTTTGAGCCCAGGGCTTGAAATCATTTTGTCAGTAATGAAAAGTTAGTCACATAGCAGAGTGGAGCACTGACAAGGCTAACCAGAGTGCAGTCACAGAGGAGGAAGGCAGCTCATCCCTGGGACTATCGAGATGTCTTATGACTGAACAGAGTAATGAAAACCTGCTACGAGTCTCCACTTCAGCTCATATGGTTTCCTTCACTGCAGCCTATTCGGCCAATAACTGGCACAGAGGCCTCCACTAACTTTCCCTTTTCCCATCAGCTCCTGGAGACTGGCTCCACACTAGGAGGGATTATAGTCTTTTGTGTTGTTTGATGCAAAACTCCAACACTGTGTCTTTTAAGCTCAGTTCTTCTAAGTTACAATTAAAGAGAAGCATGCCACGCAGTATACATTGTCACCCGTACTGCAGTGTTAGCAAAAATGGATTTGAGGGGTCATTGCTGCTCTTTCCTGCATAAAGAGCAATGACTGTGGCCATTATTTTTCTGCATGTCTGTTAAATTGCCAAGCAGAGACCAAAAATGGTTCAAAACACGTTGAGTGGCTTGCTGTTAAATGGATAACAGACAAAGATAATTTAACCTCCTCAGTACACTGTTTTACTTTTCAAAAATACTGTGTGTGTTTTATCTGGGTCAGGCATTCCTAAATGAGTGTGTAGCCTCTGGGCTACCCACTATCTGATGTTATTCTGTGGTACCATAGCACTATGATAGCACTGACTACAAATTTTCTTCACGTACTTAGTATGGGCACTGTCCTATTCCAGTCCCTTGTATGTTACCCCTATAGATAGTGGGGAGAGGACCCTGAACTTTCCACTGCTTTCATTGGAAATGGGATGGTGGGACAGGGAAGCAAATTATTTTTTTATTTTCTCCAGGCCCCAATTTTTTGGTAGTGATTGTGAAGGGTTATAGTTATAGCCAGGTCAACTCTTACAAGGAAAACTAGTAATTTAGGTCGAATTGCAAGCATTTCATGGTGATTAATGTGAGATGATCCAGCATTCCTTGTCAAAGGTTTAAAATTCAATTTCTGCCCTCAAATTATGTCAAACCTAGCAGTAGATCCACTTAAACCATAGGTTTAAGTCCTTCAGGAAGCATCAACAGCACAACTCACCTGATACAGAACTAATTTTAAAGGTGCAATTCACAATCCCTCTTCCTTCTTATTCCGTTTGTCTGCCAAACAAAGATGGGACCTGAGCATGTATGTAGAGGGTAATATCTTAGGGAAAAAAAAAAGACAAAATCAGAAGCAGGAAGTTTGAACCATGGCACTTGATAATGGAGTTCTTGAAATCCATTTCAGCACATGGATGCTATTCATGACAATGTCATTGGTAGGAAATGTAGTTACAGGTTTTCCCAGCACAGGCAGTGTTGTTCTCTGCAAAGTCTGAGCATTGTGCATGTCTTGCATGCTGCGAGCATTTCTATGCAGGAGTCTGCCAGGTGGCAAGAATTAACATACTTGTACTGTTTATAGCTGAGGATCTCACTGATTTCTTGTATTGTACATAAAGAGGTCCATTTTCTGAAGCCTTTTCGTGTTGAAGCACTGTTCTTTAACAGGTTTTTTTTTCACCTACTGTTAGAACAACTGCACAGCAAGGGCATCCAGTTCTCAGCATGGCATCACTGATTTCAGAGGTGATGTCCCCTGACACTGGGTTTCCCCTACATCAAAGGGGCTTGAAGAAAATTGTAGTTAGTATTGTTAACTTAGGGTAAGCCATATCAAATTTCCTCTGAGCTGGAACAAGATCTATAGTACTGCGTATGCATATCCAGAGTGTTCAGGCAACTGTTAAATTGAGGAAGGCCTGGTGTTTCACTGCTGGAATCGCTGCTTGTCATCCATCAACACAAGCAGAGGGCTTTTTCCCCCCTTGCTGTGTTGGAACTGGTATTTGGCATCTGGAATTTGTTCAGTTGGAACTGTTTCTCATCATTTCTCTGTATTTACTTCCCTTTACCCAGTTCCACATTGGTTTTTTTGTTCTAGACAGCAATCTTGAAATATCTCTTTTGTGATCTCTAATAGCAAAACTGTCTGGGGTCAGAACTGCTTTTGAGATAATTGGAATGTTTATTAGCCTAAAGTTTTGGGTCCTAGTGGGCTGAGTGTGCATGCCTTGGGTGATCACCAAAACAGAAAAAAAGATTATGTGTAACAATTTACATACTCAATGTTGAACTTAATTTTTCAGCCCTATCTGAGTTTATCCCAGGTAAAAAAAAAAAAAAGGCTTTACATGCCAGCTTTGCATATTTGATGTGAAAATCATGCAGACAAAATACCAACCTCTCAATGAAATTTTCTGATGTTTTGCATCAAAATAATGCCCATTTTTTAATTGATATAAGGAAAGAAAGCATGTTATGTAATTCTTTTTATTTTCTACTGATTTACCTGGAAGTAGGTTTTTGTAAGTTTTTCTTAGTTTTCTGACATAGGCAAAAATAGAAATGTCGTTGTTTGTTTATGAGATATATATATATATATATATGATATACATATTTGTGTACGATATAGTGAAATAACTCTTTGAAGATGAACTGAATCTTTTGTTTGGGCTTAATCACAAAACCAAGACTGTTGCCAACCAAATCATTCCACCTTAGAGAAAAATAGTTTGACCCAAAAATTATACTTACCTTCCTTTCCCCCTAAATAATACTGAAAACAGCTATGGTACAGAATATATATCTCTATATAAATAGAGGTCAAATATGGTATGGAAGCATCTCATCATCCAAGCAAATATATTAAAAACATAGCACAAACCTCGTTTTAAAAAAAATCCACATAGTTAGTGCATAGCAAGTTCATAGAGAAAGCACTGTTGTTGAATAACCATGCAATTATAACTGGTTTATATTTGTGTATGTGGTATAAGATTAATATTTCTAACAGTCAGTCTAGATTTTAAATCTTAGCCTGTTTTTTCAATTCTGTTTTTCCCTATTGGTGTCACTCTAGAGCAGAATTACAAATACCATTTTTTCTGAATTTTTTACTTTTTCTTATATTTTTTTTTCCAGAGACAAAAGTCTTTGTCAGAAAGCAGAAAAAGAGAGCTCTTGGAAAGGACTATTGTGGAGCTTGTTGAATTTATTTCTCCTAAAACACCTAAACCTGGAGAATATGGTGGAAGGACATCAGGCTCAATGGCTTGGCGAATGGCCAGAGGTGAAATTGGTCCAGAGGTATTTAACTTTTGCACTGATGACCATCTTAGAGGTAGCTAACTAGAGGTTTTATGATTATGCTCTGCAGAGGAAGAGCATCTCATGTTGGGTAGCTAGCAGATTTAGTTAAAACAAGTGAATTATGCAAAAACATTTGGTGCATGTTTGATGTGAATTCAGTAGAGGTCCACAAGTAAATTTGGGCGACTGATGATTGTCTGTTGATTCCAGTAATGTTTGGGAATCCTTGATCTAAAGTGTGTTTTGTTCTTACAAATTAATAAAAAATAATTTTTCCTTTTAATCGTTGATGTGACAGAACTAGAAAATTTAAGACAGTTGAAAACAATTGGGAAAACTTTAAAAAAAGTGTTTCTATTATTAGTTACTTCCAGCTTTTAACCAATAGTAGGTTTTGACCAACTGTTTTTGTTAATAAAACAATGTGGGAGCAACCAGAATTCTGTACTTTAAACAATCTCTTAAATAATAAGCTTGGTTGATTTTCATATCAATATTTTTTTACTATTTCCAAAAGCAAGATTTGATTTTTATTTATTTTATACTAAGATACAGTTTTCCAGAACTGTAGTCATATTTAGCTGGAGTCAGGATGCAAAGGTGTGACCTTAATCTTGGAACAATACTGACATGTAAATGACTGACAATCCTAAATAGAACCAGTTAAGTGAAATTGTTGAATTTCATAGGATTGTTTAAGTTTGAGAACCTACGAGTTTATTGCAGTTCTCCACAGTTTAGAAGACTTAATTTCTGCTTTGCTGAAACTCATAAGAACAATGAAATTTTTTATGAAAAATAAGAGGGTAAAGTTACAAAGTTTGTACTTGAAGTTTTTTGAAGTTGGTTTGTCAACTGCCATACCGAAGCACCTGTGTATGGTGGTCACATTTGCTATTCAAATAACCATTTACTTATTGATTGTACAAGAAATATGCTCAACATATAAACTTTTTTATTCTTAACCCCTAATTTCTTACTTAAATGTGCTAATTTTATGTTAGCTTGTTAAAAAATTACTTCTAAAAGTGATTACGTGAAAACTTTAAAAATAAAATTAGTGCTCCCCATTGTAAAAACGTGCAGGTCTATTGTAGGAAACTGGTTTAAAACTTCTGTTCTGCAGAAGGCTTTTGTCCATGACTTCTCTTAAAAATGACTTTTTTTTTCACTTGCAGTAAAACTGAATTAGGAAACTATGACATACTGTTTAAAAGTATCATAGTCTTTGGGGAATTTAGGCATAGGGGACTGAAGGTGCTTGTATTTTTTTGCCTTTTTCAGAAAAGAAAAGAAGTACTTTTTATTCCCTCTGAAAAGGAGAAGACATCTAAACTCTTCCACCTCACCTACAATATAGTAGATGATAGTTATACACGGATTTCCAATAACAATGAAAAAATAAGTGGCTGGGAAGCAGGTGTTTGGAAGGCAGAATCTGTTTGGAGAAAAGTTGAAACAGATTGGAAAATGGTAAGAATAGCAATTATTAAAAGTATATAATCTGCTGTAAAAGTGTAACTAATAAAATAGAAAACCCTTGCCAACGTTTGGTATCAAAACCTCTCTTGGTGCCCATGGAATTTAGCTGATGTTAGTAAATGTTACTGTTAAGCTTCAGGTAAGACTGCCAGATGATTTAAGAAATTGGAAATAAATTTAGCTTGTCTTTCAGAAAGGATGACCAAATTCTCTACAGATAGGCAAAGTCCTTGCCAGAGCACCAAATTTTAAAAAATGGCTTCCTTCTTATGCTTTTGGAAAAATGCTGTTCTATTAAAAAGCAGTACTTCTCTCAAAAGAAAAAAAGAAAAAAAAAAAGAAGAAAAAAAGGATTTTTTTGTTGTTGTTTTGGAGAACAGCTCTACAGAGTATCATATCTCCTTGATACACAAAGGAAGAAATTGTCATCCTAAATATTATAGTTCCATGTGCAAGAAGGCAAAAACCTGTCAGTTATCCAGATTATTGTATACCCTGCCCAGAATCCTTCCCATCTGTCAAGACACTGAGCAGCAGAAGAGTCATATGCTCTAAATCTGAGAACTGAAGTGTGTGAGATGGGAAGGGGTGTTTTACTAGCAAACAGCTTTTCCCTCAACAGCAACCAACTGTGGAACTGAACATTCCTGGCAGGGGCTATAGCATGTCACTGCTTTCTTCCTCTGCCATTTTACTACTCTGAAGGGTCTCTGACCCAACATTTCTAGCTTAGGCAGTGGTTATACTTTGCATTGATGAAAATGGAGTTAGGTATGTAACTGCCTGCCTTCTGAAGGTTTTCTGTGCTGGGTCTAAACTGACTTGCAAAATCCAACAAGGGAATAGCTTGGAGAGGTTATGCTACGAAAAGGAGAAAGAAAAAGGGAAGAAGTGGGAGAAAAATAAAAAAGATGTCACAACAGGGTAGGCTAACAGTGGAAGAGAAGTAACAAAAACTCAGAGTGAGTGACAGCTGTTCTTTGCTTTCCTAGGATCTGCTAAAAATCCGATAGCACATTATATTTTCAAATTTGCAGTGATCACTTATCCTCGCTTTTGCAGGAAACATACTGTCCTTGCAATGAAACTAAACTACAGTTCTGATCACCTCTACTAATCAGATGAAACAGGGTGCGACCAATTTAAAAGGCCTGGTGAAAAGACTTTAATCTTGTATTCAGCAGCACCTCTAAAGGATGAGTCAAAGGCCTTGAGAAATGAGGAGCTACAACTCCAGGTGTCTCTCAGGCTTGTGGGGAAGGTGTGTTAGTTCTGCAGGAATTACATCCTGCAGAAAGTCTGCGTAAGAATCTAAGAATTTAAAATGACTTTTCGTTAGGGGTTGTTTGTATTATGGGAGACAGCAGCAGGGGGAAAGGTTGTTTAGCGTTTGCCTTGTTATTTTTGTAACTCCTCTAATAGCTCTGCAAGATACAGCTTTGGAATTTGGTTCAGCAGCTGTCCAACAACTTAAGAGCCAAAAGAGCCGTTACAGAAATACTTAGTTTATCATTTACTATGTAATGAATGGAAAGGAATTTAAATCTAAAAGCCACAGAAAATGTATCTGTAGGTATTAGCCCAGGAGTAACAGAAAATAACCATCAGCTACGTATTCTGTCTTTGCGATGTTTTTGATCGGAATGATTCAAATAAACGATCATCTTGGTCAGTCTGATAGTAGCCATCTCCATCCTATTTGTGTATTTTCTTGCTATGCAGTGTCTCTTGGCTTTATGCTACATAATGCAAACAGGTACAAATCACAGATTCAATCAGATTACCCAGAGATAAATTGGCATCCAGGGCTCAAGCAAGCAGACCACAGGAGGTGATAATAAGAGTGTAAGAACCTGTAGATCTGAAATCCATGTATTTCTAAAAGGCTTGTTTTCCAGAAGAATTGCTCCGAAGAAAGAGAATTTGGATGAGTTGGTTTGTTGGTTTGGGTTTTTTTCTCTGAATTCAGACTTCTTTCAAATAATTCTGGAAACAAAACAGCCAAGTTTGAAAGTTAGAGGACAGTCAAAAAGACACAAAAGAAAACTTTTTCTTTTTTTTTCTGACTAAGTGCTGGAATATTATAATGGAAGACAAAACAGGCTAGTGTTTAAGACTTTTAGGGATAAAAACCTATTTTTAGTGCACCTCAACCAAATAGTATTTAATGGAATGTTTTGGCTTCCTTGCTCAAATACAGCAGTTCAATAAGATCTGATCAAGGGAAAGCTCTTGCTAGAACTATCTGAGATACTCTAAAAAAACCTGTGGAGATCAGCACCTTCATGAACATTAATATTATATTCACAGGAAAACAGGGTAAATCATTAGATTTTCATAGGTGATCTTCAGTGTGACACATCACACCTTTGGGGTTTTTGAGCTTTCTTAAACATGAAAATGGGAACACTTAAATTCTGTCTTATAGTCTGCCAATGAGATTTTCATATTAGAGTGGGATCTTCAGTAAAACATACTGCTGTGTTTTATTATCATTTTATTCTGGGTTGTTCTTTCAAGATTAAAAAATAAAGAGCTAAGTCCATTCAGTATGACACTAATCAGAAGCCTAGACATGACGGAATTTTTCCGAGTTTCCTTAACCTAGATTTCCAAAAGAATCTCAGCAGTTTTCACTCTTTAATCAGTAATGTCCGTTTCCTTGGTTTGTTAATAATAGATGTTATACTTAAAAGAACTGTCAGATGTTTGTTACAAAATTCTTATGAGGGTTCACAGAACTTTAATGAACGTTAATGTGGGAGAGAGACTGTTCAGCCAGGTGAAGTTTAGAACAGCATTGGGACTAAATTACATTATGCAACATTCTAACAGTTGAAATAACGTTAATGAAGGATTTATATATGGCTGTCATGGGTGATATGCTTTAACCAAGACATGTCAAGTCCTAGGAGAAGTAGTGTGCAGCCAGCAGCCACACCTGAGGAATTACTGATAACACAGTTTTCTTCATCAGCAACACTGAGCAACTTAAATATGGGGGCCTGTGCATTATAGAAAACCCCAGAAGTCTGCGTCTTTAAAAAATAATAAGTGTAGATGTTTTTGTGGCTTGGACTTTACTATGTATGTTGAAATAGTTTAGTGTTCCCTAGTAAGGGCTGTGAAGACGTACCATTACCTAACTGTAGAACAAACTTAAGGATGAAGGAATTTTAATATATAAAATTGTATTTAGTACAGTTTTAAAGGTTCAGAGGCTTGACAGAGAATGAAAGTGTGTTTTCTTAAGATTTTTGTGTCCTTGTTAATTCGATGTTTGTGGTCATCTCAGTTTTTGACATGTCTTCTTTCCATTTAGGTTTATTTAGCCCGAAAAGAAGGGTCATCCTCTGCTTCCATCAGCTGGAAGTTTGAGTGCAAGTCAGTCGGTCTAAAAATAGATAACATTTCAGTTAGGACAAGCAGTCAGACTTTTCAGAGTGGAAGAATACAGTGGAGACTTTGCTCTCCAAAAACAGAAATTGCTCTGATGGGAGGTAAGTGTAAAATTTAAATAATGAATTATGTCATGCAGCAGAGGTGTAACTGGAAATAAATAGTTTATATGGAGAAAGTACTGTGCAAATACTAAAAATGAAATGCGAATACTTTTTCACTTTTCCAGCTCAGTGTTTTTTAGCAAGGTCAAGAAAATACTGTGCATTTAATTAACACTGGTACAAAACCAGTTTTACTAATATATACAACCTTACCTGCAACAGAGCGGGGCTGGCAAGAGCAAAAGAGTGCATACAAGACAATAGTGTTTTACTATGAATGATAGATGCTTCTATGTCTGGTGGCATCAATCCTGACTAGGTCCTCTGAACATGAGTGTTAAACAAATAATAACTAAAAATTTGTAGCTGGTGGTTTGGTTTTTGGACAGATGAATTTGAGTAGGTGCAATTGAGATCCTTAAACATCCATTACAATGTATACTTTTTAACATGCATTCTAGCATTATATATTGTCTGTAGCAGTGGCTTACTGAATTGTTTGTCTTTTCCTCCGATAGATAAAAATCTTTGCTCCTATTCAGATTTTTCTGGTGCAACGGAAGTTATGTTGGAAGCAGTTCTAAATGGAGGGGATGGTGAAGCTGCATGGCAACACACACAGCTGTTTAGAGAGAGCTTAACAGGATGTGGAGAAAATTGCTTGGAGATAATTATAAAGCTCAGTGACCTCTGAGAATCTGAACTGCAGAGATGTACTTTGGATTCCTTGAAGACATTATGCTATGGATACAACATGAAGATTTGGTTGGCAATTTTTCTTCATCCTGCTGGCAGCTTATTTCCTGTTTCACTGCTTCCATTAAACCAACTTGAAACTGCACATGTATTGAATAGGTAAACATCACAATGAAAACCTCTTTGTCTGTAAAAACAAACACCAAAATTAAGGCATTGAACCATAAAGTATCTTTTCTTAAACTTTACAATGAAAACAAAATAATTTTTAGGAAGCAAAACTCGACCATAGTAGCACAAAGCAGTTGTACTTGATTTTAATTTGGAGTTTTGGGATTGGCTTGCTGTTTTTTGGGGGTTTTTTTAATAATCTACGTGGAAAAACAGTTTGAATTCTGTTTCCCAATTACAACAGATGCTTTTGATGATCTTAAAATATTTTAAAGAATAGTAGAAAATTTAGACATTTTAAAGAAAAATACGATTTTGTGTAATATCAGAAGTGCTGAAATTAAGTTAGTTTCAAGATTACTTAAAAATTTCTTTGTTGCAATCTAAGTATTAAAACTGTGTTTAATACCTAGAAATATTTGGAAGCCTGAAGGTTGCTAGAAACTAATTTTGAAAGAAGTGGTCACATGTACCTAAAATTGTTATAGCCTGCGGTATGAAATTGAGACTTAAAACTGAGTAAGAAATCACAATTTTTTTCTATGAAAAAATAGGTTATTAATTATAAATACTTTTTAATGATACAAATTCAGATTTGCTTAATAAATCTTTTTAAAAGTAGGCATGTAGGTTGAAATCTTCTTAAGCTATTGTCTTGAGTTGCTTTGAATACTATACCCAAATTTGATGTAAAAATATATACAAATTTTCTGTTCATTAATGCAGTGTTTAAATTTATTTTCAGTCATATAATAAAAAAATGAAAAAATGCCATCCAGGAGATGTCAGATGTTGCAATACTGTGAATAAAGCATGGAGTGAATGTTCAAATTAGATAGTCTTTATCAGAGAATCTGAGGAAGGCTGTGGCTGGATACAAGAAATTTTCTATTATAGGACTAAAATGCAAAGTTCAAACTGTAGTTTTATTTCAAAATAAGTGAGAATTAGGGTTGATGTTCTCAAGATGAGTGTTTTTAAAGTTTTTCTTATATTTTCTGACCTTTCTAACCTCTGTATATTTGAAATTATTGTCAAAAATAATTTTTGTTGAAATAAATGCTTACTGACCTTCAACAAATCTAAGGAAATACAAAACTATTCAGATTTTATTAGGAAACTGCAAAGGCACAGTGAATGCAGGCATCAAAATGATCACACAGGCATCTTAAAAAGTGGTAGATTATGGCAGTTTAGGAGTGAGAGAATGATGTATGATGGATTATATACTTCTGAATGTAAATTGACAGTTTACGAGGGGGATTAGAAAGGAAGGGTCTCACTCCCTTAGACAGAACAACACAGTGACAGGGTACTGTGTGGAAGGTTGTTCATCAGTACCTGGCTAATGCAAGGTGAATTTGCCAGTCTCCATTCAAAACTCCTCCTGCATTTGATTTCAGCTAAATGCTTTTTCTGACATTTTGATGGGAACCAACAGAAAAGTGTTTTAGACTAAAATATATACTGTCTTGAAGCAAAAAAAGGAAAAAGAAAAATCAGTGAAACCAATCCACAAAAATGTTTCCACTTCATATTTTGATAGCTGAAAAAGTTACTGCTTTAAGACAGAAATTATGTTTTTGCATTATATTACTTATAAGGACCTTGAGCACTTGCAGAATTCCTTAACCGCATCTGATAATTTGAAAGCAGAAGGCAGAATAAATTTAAAAGTAGTAAGATAAAGTAATTTTCTCACAATTTTGGTCAGAATCTCTGGGGGAAGAGTAAGAGCTGCAGATAACTTAATAAAAGAGGAGAGTAATTGAAGTCCATTATTAAAATGCTTAAATGAATTGAAAGATTGAAAAATGCCTTACCAATCTATTTAATGAAAAAGTACTCCTGTATTTGTAAGATCACATGCAATGAATAGAAGTGCTTATTTTATGAAAGGATTAATAAGTAAAACACTCAGACCAAATAGAGCTAATATGAAAAATTTAAATGTAACTCCTTCAGGTGTCTTTTGGAGTACCCTATAAACAGTGAACACTTTGAATCTCTTCCTGCATAAGCTGTTATAAAGGCACTTATTTTCTCTGCTGATCTCCATTTTAGTGCAAATCTTAATACGTTTTTATATTGTTTTTTTAAACTGGAGATAATTCCTCATCCATAGTTGCTTAATATTAACTTACACTATTCTGAATTTGCAATATTACATGGTGGAAAGATCTGTACTTCAATCTACTCTAAAAGTATGTGTATTAAGTTATGCTGGCAATGATACGATACTGGATGAGTAGTAGATGTTGATCAGGGCACATGTAGCTAAAAGTCAATGCTTACTCAACTTCTTAGAAGTTTGAGGAGGTGGAGGTTAAATGGGGTTAAATTAAGAAATGTATGACTTAATACAGGTAAAATCAGCAATGTTTTCAAGAATTCAGCTTAGTCTGGTACATTTTAAAGAACAACTAGCTGTCCAGCGTGCCATGGGTGCCTTCCAAAGTTGAGGCATAACAGTGAAATCTTTTCAATCAAAATTTACATAAATACTATACTACCCAGTTAATTTTTGCAAACTGATTTTGGAGTGCATGGTTTCCAACAGAACTATATGGGAGCCTGTGCACAGAATTCCTCCTTTCAAACAGGCATTTGTAACACAGTTTTCTGTCTTAGAGCTGATGGTACTATTAATTTCTTTGTATCCTGTTTTGATGCTGAGTGCTGCATGCAAAATAGCAACTATCAGAGACAACCCACTTCATTGTTGGTAGTAATTTCCTACACTGGAGGAAGTTGCTGAAAAGATATATCTTTAAAACATATGAAGGAAACCCCTTCTAGGCAGCGTGGAAGGAAAGCACAGGTATGCAGGAATCAAGCAAACTTCAGTGTAAATTATATTCTTGTTTGCATTGAGAAGTAAGTAATGAAAATTTTCTTGTCTGGTCCTGTATGATAATCTGTTGCCTTTACTCATCTGTTATCATGGAGGATTTTTCACGTCTAGTGACCTATGTGTGAGATACTATCCCTATTATGTGCAACATCAGGAAATGTAGAACACTAAAAATAAAGTATGTTTGTCTCCATAGTGCAGTGGAATGAAAACAGATGGTAGGCAACACATATGGCTGCCAGAAGCTGGCAACACCCATTTGCAGAGTTCTTGCAGCTCAAAACTAAACAAGCCAAAACAAAGGAACTCAAAGGGGTGCAGAGATTGTTCCAGGCAGATATCAGGATATCTGTCCTCCAGGTGCACACTCCCCATTTCTTTACCTTCAGTTGGTAAAGAATTTAATGGACCTCCTTAGTATTTGTCAAAACTTATAATTTCTTAAGTACTGGTATTACTTAAATCTCTAATTTTCACTGTAGGTTCAAACCTCTGGTTTTGGACAAAATTTAAAATTTTGCCAAGTAATTCAACATAAAAAAATGTGTCAATATTGAAGGAACTTCTCTATCGCTGCTTTGCTTCATATAGAGGGTCAAGAAAGAAATTGCAGACAGGTGACTGACTTCCTTAAACAGAGTTGCTGGAATAGACCTAGGTCCTTTCTAGAATTTGAATAATTTTTTTCCATTTATTCAACTTTGTGCTAGTTCTGAGGGTTCTTTTATGGGGTGCTATTGTTGCAAGCAGTGCTTCATGCCTTGTAGCTTATGGCCTCTCTTAAGCAGTAATCAGTGATCTAATGTATATTACAGGTAACTATAGGATTGTTGGCCATATAGTGTCATCAACAGAAGCAGCAGGAAAGAGTAATAGCACTAATATCTGGGACAATTCTATGTTCTTTATGCTAATCTTGAATATTTAACCCAAGCAGAAGGACAGTAGAGTAAAAAGAAAAAAAAGTCTTCAGTAGGTTGATACAGTTTCTTCTTCCCTAAAGGTATGGAGCGGAATTTTGATACTGTGTTAGGGCACTTAAAAATGGCCAAGGAACAAGCCAAGGGCAAACAACCTTAAATATTTGTATTTTAGGTGTGCAGATATTATGAAATGTGTAAGGGTTTACGTGTGACCATCTGAATAAGAGAACAGGGGTTTTTCCATTGTTAAGATTTTTATTCTTATTCTTAGTCTATGTTTTTTTTATGGTAAGCTTTATAATTAAGCTATTAGCTTTGTTTATAATTAGCCTGCTTCAGTTTCTGTAGCTTTATCTTTTTCTACGCATTTTCATCTAATGTAAAATACATTTTAATTTGCTTTAATTTATGTGGAGAATTGTAGCTGTGTGGTAAGTACACTGTGACAGAAATTAAGTTGATTTCTTTTTTTGGTTGATAAAAGGGATAGATTAAAAATATTCAAACTCAGCAAAACAAAACAAAAAAAGCAATTGTAATTAAAATTGATGACACCCAGAAACCAACAAAAATAACAGGACTTAATAAAATTTTATGGTGAATAAAAATGTAATGGACTATATAAGTAGTGCTGACAGAAGTAGCTTCCGTGACTGACCCTGTTTTTGAGGCATTTTTCTATGTGTTCATTTATATTTATGTCCCTTAAAGTTTTCAGTAGAAGAAAATTGCTCAGAGTAGTGAACAGCTTTTTTGAAAAACAGTCTAAGATTTAGGGAATATCTGGTTTTAAATATTTTTTATTTTTACTAATCTAAGCTGTATAATTTTAAAATTAAGGACAGGGTTCTGCTTGCTTGTTACAGGTTCTTTCTTCGTTCCAGTGGATAATTGGGATCTTTGATTTTGGAAAAAGTGTGTTTAGTGGCATATTGTAGCCAAGAGCTTTAGGAGCATGCTATCTGTAATGATTATGAAATTTCAGTGTGGCATTGAGCACCTACAGATACTTGAAGGACTGAGTCTTAAGTGCTGGTGAGCTATAACCTTCTATTAGAGGTCTTAAAAATTGGGGGAAAAGATGATTTCACTATGCATTTTGATTGTGATGTTTCAATGTAGGTTCTGTTAATTTGATCCTCTGTTACATAATGCTATGTGTTATTTCATATCCTTGGAACTTCAGTAATACAGTGTATGTCTCCCATATCCTTGAAGTCCCAGGAGAAAATATTTCCCCCCCTGAAAAACATCAGCCAGCAGTTTATCTCTGTCACAATCAAGAGGAAGTGCTGAACTTAATTTAGATAAACAGTTCAGATAACAATACACAAACTCCCTTGTGAAGCAGTCATAAGGACACCAGCTGACATAAGAAAATGAAGACATCCAAGACTAATGTTTAAGCAAACTCACAGTAAAGTAGGTGGAACAGTTGGTCACAGCCTTTTAGAGCAGATTGAAACACCAGCGAAGTACAGAATGGAAGGAGAGACTCACTTCTTGCTTCTGCATTACCATTGTGATGAGATGGATAGAAGGTAATGGAATATATGTGTGTCCAGGCTTGCGTTATATCAAAAATCTAAATAACATACTTAAACTGCAGCAGTTTTTACTTTTAGCCAAAGTGTCAGGGAAATATATAGTATATTAAAAAGCAAAGTTCACCGCTGGCAAAAAAGATGTAAAACTTTATTGTCCAAAAGGGAAGTGCCTGCTTGTGGACTGCATTAAGAATTGTGGAGCCATTCTCGTTTGGTTTAGTAAGAAGCATGCGCCAAACTGGTTTTGATTTGTGTGTTTTCTTTTGTTAGGTTGTTTGGATAGGAGTTTTTTGCCTAAGTATGCTTACTGATTTCCATGATGCTGGCAATAATGGTTTCAAAGAAAATAGTCCCCCTCATTCAAAAATTAAAACTAAAGATTGGAATAAAAAAACCCAAAACCGACACCTCCACCAAGGAGGTAACAGGACAAACGGGAAGTGTTAGAGGCTGCGGTTTAATTTTAACACTTGAGGATAGAAAAAAGTTGAGATCAAGTTAGCACTGGTAAATGAATGTCAAATTTGCATCATTAAGGATTTAATTAGCAAAACAAGCTAATTGTTTCATTTTTTTCAAAAATATTTTTGAAAGGAGTTTGTATCATCATGGAGCCTTTCAGAAGGCAAATCTTAGCAAATTCTTGCTCAAGTGTCAGTACTCTGTATCATCTGCCTTTATAAGAAGTTGTCCCTTGACAACATTATTATTGGTATCAGTTGTTCCTCTACTTCAGGCAGTCTTTGATAATGGTTTTTTTAAATGAAAATTCATTTGACTTTTTTTAACAAGGGTGAAAACCCTTGATTCATATTCACTGCAACAAACGTTGCAGTTTTTCTTGACTATGTGCTGTGACTATCTATAATCTGCAACTTTATAGTTATTTATCACATTTTTAAGGTTTGCCAGTAATTCATATTTGTACACTAGTTTATTGCTGAAAAAAATTAATGAATGACAGAAAGATATGAAGAAATGGGCATTCAGCCAGTCCCAATATATAAATAACTTTCTGAAGACACAGAGAGATTTATATGCATTTCTGGCCCCCATGATAGGAAACAGATTAAGAAACACTTGCCAGAGTACATTTACCATTTTTATTTCATTTACTTCACATACAGGACTGATTACCAACCTTTTGTAAATAGTCGGTGAAAAATACAAGGTCCATCTGTGAGCAGAGGGTGGAGGCAACATGTGTGCTGGTGGAAGAGTGGCTGAAAAATTGTGTGTGTAGAAAAAAAAGAGGAAATAAAACCATTTTTACAGAACATGTGTTTTACTGACATGTGATAAATTCAGTGGAAATCAACTGGAACCGGTTGTATACCTAGGATTGAACATTAAATCCGTAACTGGGGGATATTTTTATTGAAAAAGTTGTAGAGAAGGGGCACTCCAGTCGTGTAGTGTTACTTGTGGGTTGAGCAGGAGTAACCACCAGCAGTACTGGTTAGTGCATTTTGTATTTAACACATTAGAATGAGAAAACCAGCACTAGTATTATATATGAGCATTAGCTGTATTAGTAGTAAGATGGATGTATCCTACAGAGCAGCATAATCAGATGCTTGTTTAACATCTGATATCCACTGTCCCCTGGGGTAACCCTCCCTGTTGTTTTCACTGTTAAAACCCCTTCCAAATTTCCCTTCTTCTAAACTAGTGGTTTTCATCCTCTGAAGCAGTTTCTGCAGTGGCGATCAAGACAATGTTCCAGTGACTCTTAGGTAAGATCTGGAGGCTTCCAAAACACTGCTGGATTCTGTCCTTTTCTTGCTTCCTCTGTGTATTGCAGTCTGATATCCCAACCCCCCCTTCCAGCTTCCATGTATTCCCCCAGCTCATGATAGCTGCTGTTCCTTCTCTAATGGGCAGTGGGAGAAAGGAAGCTGTGAGGATGACAGTAACATGGTCTGCTGAGGGAGTTCCTTGAATGTGGTCATCTGAATCTGCCACATTCTTCATTGCTGGGAGATTTTGTTCACCTCTTTTATCATTTTAATTCCTACCTGCTTTTTGGGGGTGGTAGTGGTGGTGTGTCCACAGCCTTGGTGTATTCATAGGACAACTGAATCCTCACCCCGTATCATTCCAGTAATATGTCCCTCAATAATGATTCCTCACTCCTATTTTCCCAGCATAGTTCCTGTTCCCAGCAGGCCTACTGGCCACCAATGGTAGCCTGGTGCAGACCTGGTAACAGAGGCCTTTCCTCACACCACTTTGAGACCCACTGTCATCCAGGAGCCTAAGAAGTGAGGGGAGTGGTGTAGGGCCCACAAAGCAGGGGAAAGGGAAGCTGCAGCCATTCAAAGGGAAGTATGTTAGGACCAACATTAGAACCAAGAATGTTTTTGTATGTCTATAAATATAGTTCAGAAAGGCAATGAGGCTCCTGACCAAAATAAATCAGCAGATTTTACTTCTTGGGAAAACTGTTCCTCACACCTTATAGAAACATTACAGAAGGACAACTGAAGAAATTGCCATGAAAACTCAAATGAAGGATTATACATTAAGTTTGCATTAAGTTTGCATGCTATGCTAAAAATACCTGTTGAAAGGTTATACTTTCAATTTAACTCCAGAGAATAACCCAAATAAATACTGAATTGAGAACAAAATTTTTATTTCATGTATTTTGAAGGATTAACTATTGCTTTTTATAAATGTGCAAAGACCTGTAGGAGTAGAAATGCAAAGCACAACGTCCACT